GCGCCACGCTCCGTCGAGACTAGTTAAATCCCAAGTGTCGATTACTTTCTGCTCTCCCGCAGTAGTCGGCACGACATTGTCCAGTCATCTGGAACTGTTGCCAGCCTTTCAACAGTTAGAAGAGCTTTGTATAAAGCAGGTTATCATAGAAAGTTGTTGTCATAAAACCACTCATTTCAGTCAAAAACCGTCGAGACCAATTGGGATGGTGCAAAAGACACCAAGAATAGACAAATGAGCAATGGGAAAAAGTCATCTGGAGCAATGAATCTCAGTTTACACTGTTCCAAAGTGATGATGGCAGGACTTGTGCATGGAGACTCCCAAAACAGAAATATTGTTCCGACAGTTAAGCATGGTGGAGGAGTAATAGTAATGGTATGGGTGTTTCACATGGGACTCTTTAGGCCCTCTCGAAGGAACAATTAACAGTCAGAGATACATAGACATTTTGAATGCACATTTAATACATTTTATGGAGGGGAAATTGTTGATTATGAATTTCAGCAAGACAATGCTTCAGTCCATAAAGTAAGTTGACAATGCGATGGCCAGGACAGAGCCCTGACCTTAATCCCATTGAACATCTGTGAGATGAGTTATTAGTAGCAGACAACAGATCCACCACCAACATCTGAGGAAAAACTCTTCAAGAATAGAAGAAAATTCCAAACACCGTATTTCAAAATCTAATTTTAAGCATGAAACGTAGAATAAAGCAGTTAGGCATGCTGAAGGTTTTGTTATAATTTGCTTCATAACTGCGCTTGCCACATTTTTACATAATAAATTTTATAATTTTGTAATTTTATTTTAGGCAACTAAGCAAGATAACAGTGTGAAATTTTTGTATTTGATTAAGACTTTCAATACTTTCAAATAAATATTAATTTGTATGGTGTCGTAATAGTAACATAACTTTTTTTATGTACATTTGGGTTGCGAAACATAATTTGTTAGATAAGTTCAGATATAAGCAAACTCAAAATCTTACATATTGTGCAATTAAATTTTACAGGAATGTAGCAGTAGGTCAGAATAATGATTAAAATTTCATTGTGTTTGGATGTTACAATCATTTAAGGGGTGGTCGGAGACTTTTGAGTAGTTCCTTTATTAGTTGCAAGACTTTTGAGTAGGCACTGTATATGTTACAGGGAAATACTATACCGTTAGAAGAATTGTTTGTGTAATATACAATCGTATTTTATCTTAGAGTTTAGTCGTATTTATATTAGTATATTGATTATTAAAATAACATTTTGTGGTTTAGAAACATTTATCTCTTCGCGAAAATAAGGGACCAAGTCCAACATTTTCAATGAAATCTGGTCGTTGGAGCTGTGATCCCATTCCATTATTTAGATCATTCATCCGAACCCAGACACTTGTTACACTTTTCCATATTTTATACTTGGCCTCCAATCTGAAAATTTGCTATGAATTTATTCTGCCCAAGTAAGATGCGTAAATATTGTTGACCTTTTGAGGGCAACAACGCGGTCTTGAGCATTCATATCTCCAATAATTTTACGTCGGAAAAGTGTCTTGAGTAAGGAAATCAGCTATTTACGAAACGCTTTCATATTTTACGCTTCCTCTGCTTTTTCTCCGCTTGACCGATCTATGATATCACTTTTGTCAGGGGAGTGTATATGCGATGTGCCAACCTGAGTTGCAACTGTAATTAGTCTGCCCTGCAGAATTTATTAGCATCACTACAAATTATTTTCACCACCTCAGCAAAAAAGATCCATTATTAATAAATAAGATTTGATTTTATTATTATTATCACATGATACCCAAATTTGTGGTGTGCACGATCCGATCACCATATGCGTCATTATTACATAATCATCCAATCACAGTGAAAGTCCGATCCGATCACCATATTAATATGCGTCATTATAATTATTACATACGATCCGCATATAAATTTCACATATGACCCTTTTATGGTAGTTTTGACGTTTTATGTTTCGCCGAAAGAAGTAGGGTTTTTCTTCTACATGGCTGAAAAGACTTCCACAAAAATGGATGCAATTAGTCAAGAAGGAGTTCTTGGATCCTTTCAGGTAATCTATTTTTAGAGAAAAAAAAAATTGTTTTTCGAACACGTTTAACGAACCCATGTGGATAACGTTCAGCTCTTCCCCACCGGCACTCATAATCACGGTGTGGGACGCGATAGCTCTCCTATATACACATTTCGTTCATCTCCCCATAAGATGGACGTTGAAAAAACAAGTCGAGCACCTTTCCATGCAAATGGACAACTTGATCGAGGTGGTTCAGGAATGATAGAGGGCGAGGAGGATTGCCCAGCCACGATCCATCTTTCGTACACCAAGAACCAGAAGGGGAAGGTGGCCAATTTCGCGTTCGGGTCCTCAATTCGTTGTGGCCCTCCAAAACCGCCAACAACGAAAAACATGCTAGCCAAAATGCCAAAGGATATAGCGTTGTCGAGGACGGAGAAATTGAGGGTTTAGTTCCTCCTGCCCTAACAAAGGAAGAATTGCCATCCCTGGGGAAATTGCGCCGAATTGGTACCGTGGGAGGTACTGCGGAGTCAAGATGGAGATCGTGTCGACATATACTCCCGAACTATTGTTATAAGCAAGATGGGAGTGAAGGACTTATGCCTCATGTGTCAGGAGGTAGCGGACTCGTTGAACCGCAAGGATATCGCAATAATTCACCAATGGTAATCGACGTGATCGCGGATGAGTCCGACCGCCAACGTATTGCAGACTTTGTTCATATGAAAATCTGTAAAGGATCAGATTTTACCAATTGTATAAAGGAGGGATCATTTCTTAACCGTTTTATGAAGAAAATTCAAGAGTATGGCTTCGACCACATCATTATCATTGCAAACGCGAAGAAGGAATACTTTTTTTAGATTGTTACGGTCGTGTGTTCGACTGGAACGTATCGGTTTATTTGTTGTTTCCGTGCGGAAATTCTTTGGAAGAAGCATCGAGAACCCACATTGAGGAACCATGGATTGTAGAGAATGATGGGAGACTTTTTCAAATCGAGTATTGTATGTGTGCAGATTTTGCTCATTTTTTTACCAGAATTGTGTATAACTATACTTTCTTCTAGTTATCGATGCGCTTAATACGGAGAGGGAGGAAGACCCGGAATTCGAGAAATACCTAGAAGCCCAAAATACCACAAAGCCCAGAAAGCTCAAAAAGGCAAAGGAAAAAAAACAAACAAAAAATACTTTTAAATATTTCCTCTTCAGGCTCTAGCTGTCATCTCAAAAATAATTCTTTTCTGCGCGTGACCAGTTAGTAGCTGATCACGTTCAATCTTTCAGTAATTCCGTCTTTCCGTAATTCTTAAATTCAGTAATTCAGTAATCTATCAGTCTTCTTTAAAGGTCAGATTTTCTGAAACAGAAAACAATATTAGCGTATCGAGTACAAGTTTGTAAAGTAATTGCATTCTAAGCCAAGTTTCACCGATTTGTGATATTTGTATATGTATCAGTGCTCTCGCTGACGTGGTAATATATTTGTATTGCATGAGTAATTATTCTTTCCACGAGCTTTACTCGTTGATACTGAATCTGAGGCTGGATGTAGATATGCTCCAGATAATTGCTCGATCTTATATCTTCGAGTTCTCAACTGCCGATAATAATAATTCGACCGCTTGCGTTCAGGGGTCATCGGTCGAATTAACGAATATCCAATCAGACGTCCATAATGATAGGGCGTTGCCATTTTGACTTTCGATTTCTTAATAAGGTTTGTTTATATCGAATCCATTTCTCCGATTGTATTATGATATTCTGTACGGTTGTTTTTCCTAATTCCGAGTTAGATAATTGAGGGTTTTTAGCTTTTCGCTGACATATCTCTTGCTTCTGTTTGGTTTGGTAACATAAGGTGTGTTTTTTCGATCGAGGCATTTTGAGAAAAAAATAACGTATGATGGGAAATTTTTATTATATTAATGTTGGTGGATAATCGAAATTTTTTACCACAAAAACAATGCAACCGGTCGAATAATCGGCAGAATTCAATCAATTAACCCTTAAATGGAATGATTTGAATTAACGGACGTATCCCTTGCTTTTATGGTATACGATAAAACAATGCATGATGCTAACCAAATTTACATCAAACGTATGATCTTTGTATCGTGTATTATTATTGCTAGATACTGTTAATTTTATAGAATGGAATATGCGTGTAGACAATACACATAATCGATGATGGATAATACTATTTACATTCTGGCTGATGAAGATTACCGCCCATGTAGACGAACGATTTACACATTTACATTTTACACAAATTATCTCTTCCTATTACTAGAAACCACCCAATTTTCAAGTCAACAACTTCTCCAATGACGGCTGCGCTGCACTCGTGTCATTTGTCAGTTTGTCTCGCTTATTTTTCTTCTTCTTACTTAATACTTTCCTCTTTATATGATCTATAAGCAGCTGTTCGTTTCCCTGCATGTCGTATTTAAGACAGAATTCCCTTATCGTTTCCTCTAAGTCCTGTTCCTAATTGATGGTGAAGAAAAGAAATGAGAGTTTGAGGAGAGAAACACGAATGGATGAAATGTATTGAATGAACGAGTGAATCTAAGCTTAATTAATCGTATAATCACGTAAATAGAAATTTCATCCATACCGGTGTCAGACATAACGTCTGTGTTCCGTATTTTTCCGTAGTAACAGAGAGAATCTTTTCGTTCGCTTGCTTTTCGTTATCCTTGCCTCTATCCTCATTCTTCCCCTTATTTTCCTGACTGTCAGTACTTCCGCTTTCGCTCACGCCATTTTCATTATTACTGACACCATTTACAGGATTCGTATCATGCACATCCTTATTCTCCATCGATGACTTGGTCGGAGTTTCAGTTAACATTGTCACTGTAGTTTGAATTTCAGAATATGTGTCTGTTGTTAGGCTGGCATTGTTTGTATTTTGAGGGTTGGATGAGTCGACAGATTCAGCGGCCAACTCAGACGATAGTGGATTGGGCTCGTGCGAAGATAATGATTGCGCTTCCGATTCTAGCGCAATAGATGAGAAAGTCCCATTATCCTTTTCATTATCATCTATTTTTGCATCAATTTTTTGATCCTCATTCACACCACTGTCCGTGCCGTTAATGTCATGGCTACCATTTAGAACATTACTTTCATCCTCTTGTTGTTCATTTTGTTCTAGTTTTCCATTTTCCTTGTTCACTTCAATATCAGTTTCTGTCTTCGCCTTCTCCACACTTGAAGACTCTTCGAGCATCTCATGTTGTTCGTGCGGTTTTTCTAAGTTTTTGTCGGTGGAATCGGAAGCAATATGTGGAGACGGTATATCAGTAATAATGGGTGAATCAGAGGTTTGGTCCGACATTCCAGTATTTTCGTTGAAAGCCTTATTTTTCTCAACATCATCTTGTTTCTTTACGTTTTCATTCGTTCCTGACGAACTCTCAGTTTTCTGCGTGTTATTCTCATGGGTGTTCGAGACACTGTCGAAAACTTTCGCTCTCCTAAACTCTGCCTCAGTTTTCCACTGTGGTCGACCCAATCGCACAATCCTTCCTCCAAGGGTATCTCTTCGGACATCTGTAATTGTCGACTCGTTCTTAACTGTGTCTTCGCTTCTCAGTATTGGTATTGCATCTTTGGAAACACGGCTTTGGACACGACTACTGTTAATGGTAGTTGTTGTTTTAGTAGAGCTGGAAAATTCGCGCTGTTTACGAGTATCTTCCAAAATATCATCTTGCGTCATCATCGTTTGAGAAGATTCATCATCTTGCCGCATAGCTGTCCTTGTTATCTTAATATCCGATTTCTTATGCCTCTGCGGTTTCTCATCATCACTATTTTTGTCTGATGAGTCCACATCCGAGTTCTTTTCGAGCACCAGCGATTCTATTTGCGGAGTGTCCGTGAGTTTCACCCATTGTCCATCTCTATTCTGCCAAAACTCTGTTTGCTTCTGTTCTTCGATTAATTCCTGACAGTAACCTTGTGACTCATCTTGCCAAGAAACGACTTTTTGCGGTGGCGCACCCCATCCCTCTGTATCATCACATTCGAAGGAAAAACCTCCACCTTTCTTCCGCTTGAAATAGAGCGGGATTTTGGGTTCTGGCATTGGGACAGCCTCTAACTTTGAAATATCAGGCGAAACCCAAGGTTGTTCTTTCGGAGGCGATGAAGAAGGTTGCTCGTCAGATATCCATTTTTTAGATGTACCCCAAGCCGAAGCAAGATCTACTGGTACTTGTCCCCAAGCACCCAAGTCTATATCTTGTCTTGAAGATTGGTTTTGGGGAGTTGACGATGCTTCCCGTGGGGTGGGCCATTCGTCATTGTAACAGGCATTTGTGTTTTGACGTTTGGTCTGGATGGGGGACGATTTTGATGCATTTAGCGCGGGATTGTGTACGGGCCATTCAAAGTCGGAAGAGGATGTGGAAGGACGTCGGTTCGCAGTATCGGTAGTGGCGTTGGGGAGAGGTGTTGGTGAAGATCGAGTCGATGAAGATGGTCGTGTTGGTTTCTGATTTACTGTAGCCGAACTTGTCGATGCATACGATGAAGAAACGGGAGGCGTAGATAGGGTTGGTAACTGAAAAGCTGGAGAAATTGGAGATGGAGTACGTGCTATATTGTCTTTTGTTCTATTGTAAGTACGATAACTAGCGGATTCGGGTTCATCACGTAAGACTGCCTTGCCTTTGTCTATCCTATTATATCCTCGTCTGTGTCTATCGTAGTCTCTATCCGATTCTTCCGAGACCTCCCTTTGTCTTTCGATATCTAGAGATCGCCGATTTTCACTTCCTCTTCCTTTAATCTCTATACCTCTATCATCTTTTTCCTCTCTATCTTTCCTTCTATCTCTCTCCTTGTCTCTATCTCCTTCTCTCCCTCTCCCCTCATCTTCCTCTATGTCTTTCTCCACTTCCCTAATGTCCCACGCAGCGATAGAACCAAAATCATCGTTTCCCCATTCACCATCATTCCATCCATCATCATCCAATATTTCAACGCGACTTCCCATACCGGAGGTTCTCTTGTAAAGGGAATTGTCGTGTTCATCCGAGGGTTTTTGATGAGAGCGGATTTTGTAGATCCCGATGCTCTCCCATGAGGATTGTTGCTGGGAACTAGTTTTTTGAGGAGATAGAATGCGAGATTCGACGCGGGCGCTCGAATGTGAGTCATTTTGCTTAGTTTCAGTGCGCGGGTTTAAACCTGTTCTCGACCCAAGTTTAGACCATAGGACATCGGCATACATTCTTCTTGATTGTTCTCTTTCGTTGCGCTTCTCATCATCACTAATAGATTCGTCATCTGAGTAGGCATCGGATTTCTTCCGCAGTGATGCAGACGATTCTGCTCCTCGATGATAAGATCCTGTTGAATTGTTGTACCGCGATGAATATGAATATGGAGGTTGTTGCTTCTGTGTGGGTTGAGACGATCGAAATACCGACGCGTGGGGTACAGATTGACGTGGGGTTGAGGGTGGGGGTGAATAGGTCGGTGGAGGCGAGTAGGTCGGAGATGAGTAACGGACCGGGCGGTTGTGTGATAATGGTGGTTGATTTTGTGGGTGAAGTGGTGTTTGTTTATTAGTTGCGTCTTCGTATGATGGTTGCTTACGTGATATATCATCATATTCGTCCTGATACCTAAGTTTATTAACTGTACTCCTTGGACTGTATGTTCCCGACGAGTCGCTAAGATCTGATGTCGACTCATTTGGCATAGCAGGTGAATTAAATGATGATGGAATAACCGTCTTATGTGTATTTTTATCTTTTGTATATCCACCTGAATACTCGTCCGCGTATTCACTTTTCTTGTCGTTCTCTTCAATCGCAGATGTTTCATACAAATTAAACAATTTTACATTGATCGTTGACCATCCAGTTTGGGTCTTTTTAATGATTGATGATATGGAATCTCGCCTTGATGATGGAGCGGAGAGCTCGCCAGTTGTTGAAGATGTTGAGCCGTTGCGCTTTGAAGCCGAAGGGATTTCACGTGAACTATAGTTGTATTTATTACCGTGCTCACCGTGTATTCGATAATTATGTTCGTTCTGGCTGCTCACGCTCGAAAGCGATCCACGAGCACGATGAGAATCCCCTCTGTTGTCCGATGGATATTCCGTTTGATACTCCGTTTGGTAATCTACGGGTGAATGATAAGTGGTCTCATTTTTCGTCTCTTGGCTATTAGTTGAAAACTCCCAGCGATTCTGTCTGTTCGATAGGTCTTTGTTTGGTGTGACTTTATTGAATGCATCCACATTTGGTGTGCGTTTGTGACGGTTGTTCTCTTCCGATAGTGTAGCATTTGGCGTACTACTCAATACCTTTTTAAATGCTCTGTCAACATCATCGACTGGTAATCCTAATTCAACCGCCAGTGCTTGAATGTCGGATGTAGTCAAATTCCCTGACCTGGACTGACGAGGTGGACGATGCCGCCGAGGTGCCTGCGCTAACCTAGCCAGATCATCACCCTCGATAGTACATTCACGTGATGTACGGCTATGATGGCGTTCCTTGGCAAAATCATAAATAAATGAATCAGAAATAGATGGCATGTCAGTGAATGTCAGCCTTTGTAGTGATGTTGATAATTGAGAAGCAAACCAATGTACTGCTGCGGACGAAAACTGTCCGCATGATGCGATGGTAAGATGAGTGATTGATCGACTCCCTGCTTGAGCCAAGTATTCAAGACAATTTTCGTTTATCTTTTTACAATGCAGTAATTCGACCACCCGTAAATGTCGACAATGCTTAGTTATACTCTGAATTCCCTTCTCCGTAGCATATGAAGACCCAGACAATCCAAATATCTCCAATAGCTTACAAGTGGCAGTTATGATATCGATTAAATCATCATCGATCGGTAAGCATTCTAATAATAAGGTACGCAGTCTATGTGCTACAGGAGTTAGGAGATGTTTAGTATGTGGGGTGTCTTGATATCTTGGTGAGCATCTCAAGTCCAGATGCTGTAATCGTTCTAATGAGTACAATATGATCTTAAACGACTCGATAGTCAGTCTATCCCCACTCAAAGAGAGTGATTGTAATTTAGTGCTATTTTCAACAAATCTAGCAACGTTAGCGTCAGTAAGATTTGGACACTGTTGTAGGGTTAATTCTTTCAATTGGGTGAATCCATTAGCAAGAATGTCAAAACCTGTTGAGGTCATAGTCTGCGTACATAGCTTTAATGATGTCAAATGTGGACATTTGTTAGCCATCACTCCAGCCAATTTATCAGATAATTTGAATATTCCATCCAGGTGCAGTACACGTAGATCGGATACGGAATTCATTAATGTGTTGAGTGCCCTCTGAGTCAATGAAGTATTCCCAATGACGCGAAATTCCTTGAGCCATCCGTATTGTAATAAACCACCAATATGTTCATCAGCAAGATTCCATCCGTATATCTTCAAACTCTGCAGATATTCGCACTGGCTGACAATCCTAAATATCCACTGTGGCTTAGCCAACACCGTTCTACGCATACTTAGATGAACACCCCACATACTCTCCAGCACGGGTGCAAAAGCAGACGTCTTTTCTTCCCCCGGAGCACATAGGTCTAATACACGCACTCGTAGAGCGCATATTTTAGAATCATTAATAGCCCGTACGAACGAGTGAAATGAATCGGGCGTCTTGAACAAAGGAGCAGACCAAAGGACTTCACTTGCAGCTGGGAACCATCCTTTGTTTACCAGACAGAAGTTGAAACAGTCAGACTGTGTTAAGTATTCGGCTATGCTTTTTACTACTTTGGAAGGAAGTCTCAAGGCAGGAGGGTCACTTGGCGAAAGGTCCTCTGTCGCTGTGATTTGAGACCAAGAGTCGCTGAACATTACGAGCAGAGGAGAAGTGGCACGTAGGTAATTGGGAGATTCTAAGAAAATTCAAAGCTGAGCGACTTTTGTGTATCGTGTTTATGTTACTCAGTTGGTTTTATATCAATTCGGATGATGTTTTTTGCTTTTCTGATATTTCTGCTGTGAAAAAAAAAATTCTACTCTCGAAATTGAGTCCAGTGGATGGGAGATGATTGAAATCTTTTTTTTAGCGTTCTCTAGATGAATACAAAATAGATAGACAATGGTCAGAAAAACCAACAACAACTCACGGAATGCTATTATCACGTGTATTATTGAACTAGTGCAACTATATTGACATCACCCACAAAGGTTATGTCAAGGGAGTATCTATGCTTAACTTTTTTATCTATCTGAATTCTCATTGCAATTACTTTACACTTTATTTGTTTCTCTAGTTATCCCACCACTTGGGTGCGTATTACACAATTACATATCTAAGTATTATATTTGACAATTGTGTCCGTCATTCGTTATATATTGTTAGTCTATAACCAACCTGCTAAACTCAATCAATGTGTTCCATTGTATCACGTTATTCACGAAGACAGTTTTGACTGAAAAAAAAAGGGCAAGAGAAAGAGTCCTATAGTAAAATTGTAACAATTGAGAATTATTCTAACTTCTATGCAAATGTATGTGTGTGTATATATCCACGTCTGGATAGCGAAATACGTGAATTGTACAAGGTCGCAATTTCACTAAAATCAGATTTTTTGTAAATACTCGACGCTCGAATAATCACGCAAATGACGAAAATATTATTATCGCAACAAAACTCCATATCTATTAAAATGGAAAATTATCACCCTAATCGCTTCCTCTTTTCGTCCTCAATCAACTTCGCTAAAGCCGCCTCAACTTGGGGATTTGTGAATCCATTGTTTTTGCAAAACAGTCTCGCCAAATCTGCAGGATCGTCATGCACGCACACAAAAATCGAGTGTTCACCGGCCTCTCCTACGTCAATATTAATCTTCAACAAGACATCTTTTCGTCCCGATACTTCGTCACAGAAAGTAGGATGCAAGGTAGAAGAAGGAACAGCGCCTGACCCGTGACTTCGCGAACCGCCAACTTGGTGGCGTTCTCTTAGTCTATACCCATTCTGTTCGTAATCCTGTTCGTAATCGGACGTTTCATATTGCCCTTCAGAATCTGATTCCGATTCCTGTGACGATGTTTGCAGGGAGTCGTTAAACGGTCCAGAGCGGTAGGCGTATTCCTCTGAAGAGTCTTCGATGGAGGTAGAAGAGGATAGTGAGGAATGGGATGGAGATGGGGAATAGGTGCGTTTTGGGTGGGTGGTGTGAGAAATAGTGGAGTGGGGAGGATAATGGTTGGTTGAATAATGTGTGGAGTAGTGTGTAGAGTAATGGGATGGTTGTTGAGTGTATTGATTTGGTTGAGTGTATTGAGTATATTGATTATACTGAGTGTACTGGTTATATTGATTATATTGATTGAACTGCGTATATTGATGTGCTTGGTTCCCATATTGGGAATCAGCTGTCGCATCATCTTGTTCCTGTTGCGTTAATTGTTGTTTATCTTGCCTTCCCGCTGTTACTCCTTTATCACTTCTCGCACCTTCTATCCAACCACCATCACTTCCAATAATTATTATCCTTATAATTACAATATTCATAAACAAAACTATAATAAGTAACATTACCACTAGTAAGCGATCCAGACTTGGCTCCACTATACTTTTCTCCAACACCAGCATGACTTGAGCGGTAGGATGGTGACGGTGGTGGTTGATGTCTTTGTTGTTGCTGCTGCTGTTGTTGTTGTTGCTGTTGATAATACTGTTGCTGCTGTTGAGGTATTTGTTGATCATGTTGAAATTGGTTTTTCGGCTGTAATGGGGAAGAAGTGTAACGGGATGATGATTGCGCCGGAGCAGGAGTTGATTTCCGCCGATTTAAGCCAGTATTAGTAGGCGATTTTGAACGTTTTGATTGTATCGAGTGACGACTTGGCCGTGAGCTGGTTCTCGACAGGTTTTCTCTGTCTTTTCTGTCTCTATCTTTGTCTCTTTTCTCTTTTGTTTTCACAGAGAGAAAAAAAAGGCAATTGTAGTCAGTAACTAGCTTCCATACTTGTGGAATTGCGATGATCCTACGAACAATATTAGCTTTGCAAATATTTCCATCGCAGTCAATAAACTATGATTATGTTCTTCCCTTTGTACCATTCTTCGAACTGCCTCGTTACCCATTGTCTCGATCTTTCTATTGTTTAATGAAAAAACAGAAAACATACTTTTCCCTCCGCCCCATTTTTTGTTCTTTCTCTGAATTTCTAGCACTTCCTGCTCAGACACTGGTATGTAATTTCGTCCTGAACGATGAAGTTGACCAGAGCCTACACCACCTCTTACGTTTTCGACATCTGGGTCTACTAACGAATGCCACGCAGACAACTTTTCTGATATTGCCTTTTGGTCGACATCTATGGAGGTGTTATTGGATTGGTACTGCGACGTAGAACTGGGAATGTGGGGAAAATGGAATTAAATGAATTGGATCATCGGACATTTATGAATGCCATTGGGTAAATCGCCCCTTTCTAAATTGAAAAATTTGAACTTCCTGATCATGCCAATAGTCAATTTGTAAATGACGATGCCAAATGACAAATCATTCATCGTAACTATCCAGCAAAATTACACAGTGCGATTCTCGCCATCCATTTTCACGCTCATGTTTACGCGGATATAATACACTTACCCTCTAGCAGGACCTCTACTATCTCCAAGTCTTGGGTTTTCCTTGGTGTTACCCGTTCTGGTTTTGTTACCTAAAGTAGATCTTTTTATTCACCTGGCGATGTTCAAGGTGTGTCGCTTACTCCCCGACTTACCTCTGTCACTATCCCATGTTCTTTGCGTTCCCCAGTCCTCGTTACTGTTGCCGCCCCTTGAATTAATCCTTTCGTGCACATTACTGCTTTCTCTTCCCCTCCCCGGCCTTCCGCCAGCGTTGTCGAGTAATACAGCCCCTGGGGGTGCATTTGCAAACACACCTGCTAACGCTGCATCATAGTTATCGTTGCGCGTTTGTCTCCTGTAGGGATAATTGGGTGTGCGGTCGTAATCCATGCGTGAGATGAGAGAGGACTGAAGCAAGAATAAATGTATGATCAGTAAAGCATTAGTTTGATCAGCATTTAGAAGAATGGCTCAGGGGCAGATCGTGGCTGGTGCTCATTATTATTATTATAGGCATACATATTACTAATTGACGCCACAAATCATCAGGGGTGTTAGGTGTATTGCAGAAAAACAATTTCGGAACTAACCAATTTGCTGGTGAAACTCTAACCCAACGAGAAAGATGGTTATTTCTCGTTTCGTAAAATGGAAATAGGAGCGATTAAGCATGTTTTTTAAATGATTCAGTGTTCTGTTAATTCGGCCTATCTCTCCAAAGACCTATGCTTTTCTTTGTTATGTAATATGGTAACACGACGGTCGGTCTGCATCACAAAAACCGAATCAACTGTTTCCTGATTACTTATCTCAAGACAAATTCACTTAGAAACGGACATATTACAATCATATCAACACGGAATGGTGAGTCATTTTGAGACAAGGGCGAAATATTGTACAATTGCTTGGATATTTTAACTCAATGGCCTCGGTTACATAATACCCGGGGGATGCTGAAAAGTTTAGTCATTTGATTCCTTATTATTATTTCGATAACTTTAAATACAACATGAATTTGAGTTGGCTTTTCTATTAAACGAAAACGTAGTGGCGTCTTTTCGTGACAAAACTTTTCGGCATCTTCACGTAATAAATCTTCAGAAATGTCTACGTTCATTGTAAAATCTTCTGCAATCAATTCCGTGATATAACTCAAGCACTTGTTCAAGCAACGCATCAATTGAAATTACGGATGTGTTATATGATAGCAATTACGCATACAAAGTAGCCATACATTTCGCGAATGTGACTGATATAGCCTTGGCGTTCTGGTAATTAAATTTGTGTGTTATCTGAAAAGTCGAATGGAGTGTTAATCCACGCATTTTTCAAACATTCGCACAGGATACATATTGACGAGTTTGATTCTGCATTAAAATATGTGTACGTCTATGCAGTGTGCGTTGTTTATTTGTTTATTTGTTTATTTATTTTGCAATTCAATTAATACCAAAAGAAATTCACAGCTTAACGAAAACGTCGCCTTCCGTCATAACAATCGTTGCACTTGTGATAGAATTTCGTTATTTCGTTGAGCATAAATCATATAAAGTGTTCGCTATTGTCGCACAAATACGTGTGAAAACAGTAGCGTAGTTTAAATTAAAATCGCCCATTTATGTTTTCTAAAACCATTGTTGCACAACACTTAAAACACAATATTAATATTAATATTGCCGTGCGCTCTATTTTACTTTTTTCTTTATTTCGATATGGGTTAAATAGAGTCGCAAGCAAAGCACAATTTGTTATCAATATCTTTCTGATTAGGCTTTTATCCGAAACTAGTTGCATGCTCCACAGATTATAATTAAGGATGATTCGACGCGGGTTGATTCTATAATAACATTTTGACTATTTTGAATAAAAAGCTCAAAGTCTGCATATCCTTCTTTACTGAATCTCAGCGACATGCTCATGGTTTACCTTGTTTGTCGAACGTCATCCTAATAAGTTCCGTTGTGTTACGGATTTGCCGGAACTTTCTAACTTTGACAATTAACAGTTTACGAGCTAAGTTATTTTTATTGTGTAGTTAATAAATCTACGAATATTTACCTGTAAACTTTACACATAAAGTATGGAATTTAAAATCGTGTGGTTTCATTAGTCAAAACTCTAACGTTTTTATCATTGAAATTAACAGAATTATAATGCCAAATCAAATAAACGCACCAGACAGTTTCGGGATGCTATCAACAAATGTTGGAAGCAAGAAAAAGATTCTGAAGCAATGCCAGCACACACTTTTTGGATAGAGAGTGGGATATGTGCTTTAATTTGCAACCAAATACGCTAGAACAACGTGTTGAAAATGCAATAAAGTTACATGTATGGGCTTTAAGTTCACGTGGGTCAGTGTACGACATTACGTAACAAGAGAGCATATCAAGCTCAGGCTCGAATAAATGTTGCAACAAAGGCTTCGAGGACGATAAAGAACAAGTCAATTTCTCCATTAATTCACGTGATTACTATCCACCAATCATATATTGAAATTTCGCTGTTGCTATTCAAAATATTAATGATTAAAATGTTTAATGCGACCAACCGGTATGATAATGCATGAAACGATTGCGCTATGAATAATAATTGCTATGCATATTAATATACGCTAGCTGGAAGTACTTTTTTCTTGCTTTAGATCGTCTTGTTTAATAAAATACTAGTATCTTGTTGGCCACGCCATTATTGGCAATACCAATACATGTTTCTATTCTTGAGGCATACTATCAATCAATTTGAGAAAGGTTGTTGCGGGATTTTCCTCCCATCCTTCTTAATTACATCTCTAAATTTACAATAGCGACAAGCAACGTCCATAACTCTGCAAATGTCAGATTTTCCATAGCCATGTTGTATGATCCGACTATTTGTGCTCGTTCAATTACAGTAAGTTCAGCATTTTACACATTATTAGTAAGTTACTGTTACTTTTATTTATGATGTTTATTTTACTTCGCACTGTCCGCGTGTCCAGATGTACACTTTTCTTTTATCACCGGTTGAATAGCACGAAGGCGGAATTTAAGGGGTTAACTGGAAATAATATAACATGGATAGATATAATGCGCGGCGATTTTGCGTAGGTCGGGGTACTTTAAAGCATAACGATGATTATTTTGAAATCTTACGCGATGTAGATACTACCAGTCGCGCTTTTTCTTAGTATAAATGAATAAAAGTTTAGATATTTCAGCTCAAGGAAGTCAAGAGAAAATTGAGGTCATATTTATATAAAACCCAAATAACTTTTTAACAAAACCGCGTAAATAAGTTGAAGAGGCCATTTATGCAAGAAATCACTGAGGAGCGAACCAAAGCAAGTAAAAATTAATAGAAAAGGTTATAATTGCGAGACCATCTATTTATCGAAGTATCCAACCCAAGCGAATACAGCACGTAGAAGATTCTCTTTTGCGCAAGCATTTCAAAAAGTGATAGACGAAAACAAATTTTGTATTGCTAATTTGATTTATTAATCGCTTAATCACCGAGTCTAAAGAATTAAATCAATTAAAAGATTAACCAATTTGACTTAGTCAATACGATCACAAAGCGCGAATTTATTGAAAGAAAAGTCAAAGAGACTTGCAATAATCCTATTTTATCGGATCTGTCGAATTTGTTCTTCTTGCTGTTCTGTCTTCTTGGGTTATTATTGGTTTTAGGTGACTTTACTTTGATCAATTTACTTTTGTCAAATCTAAAGGTAGAGTAGACAGTCTCACTGCAGTCGTGTGTGGCGAATTTGATCACCAATTAATGATTACAGTTTGATTAGATGAAATTATAGATTATAACATCGATCGCAGATCAATCATCATCAAAAGCCATATTTTCATCCGATAGCTAGCATAAGCATTCTCCTCACATAGAATCAACCACATACAATAAAACATGGTATTCATAGTCAACGACATGTCTGTTACCGTGACTCGCATATTCTCACTAATCTCTTCATCTTATGCCACCCCTCCCACGTTCGCTGAACGATACAGGCAGGTGCATTAGAACGGGCAAAGGCAGAAGTATCAAAACTCAGAGACCACGAAATAGAGAGTGACTATGGCTACGTATTTGCCGTGTCAGGGCCAGGTAATGCATGCATACAAGGGCTAGTTGTATCTTGAGGAATGCGTCTTGCTTCTTGTTTTCATTCTAGACTTTTTTCATATTGTACGATAACATTTCCCTGCTGATTAATTTCACAGTTGTAATCGCTGAACAGATGAACGGGTCAGCTATGTATGAATTGGTATGCCAAATTCGTATTGTCATTTTCGTGCTTTTAAAGCTTTGCAGGTTAATAAGACTTCTTCGGGGGGTAGGTACGCGTAGGTCATCAAGAATTAGTCGGTGAAGTTATTCGTATTGATGGGGACAAAGCGACTATCCAAGTATATGAGGAGACAGGTAGTAAACACTGCTTTGATAGCACATTCGCTCACTAAATCGCTTGATCGTTGTCTTACCCGATCAGCCTTACTAACGGCTACTATCATTTCAACTCGATAAATAAAAAGCCGGGTTAACTGTTGGTGATCCAGTGTTGAGGACCGGAAAACCGTTATCAGTCGAGCTTGGCCCAGGATTGATGTCCAATATTTATGATGGGATTCAAAGGCCGCTTAAGGTTAGGTTTATGTTACTTAACGATTGTATTAGGGATTAGGAATGACGGTTGTACTTAATACTTTTATCATAGGCTATTAGAGATATCTCTAAAAGTATTTACATCCCTCGCGGCATTGCGACACCCGCATTAGACCAAAACCTTGCCTGGGATTTTACGCCAACAAACTTTAAGGTATGTAGGCAGAACTTTTCTCGTTATGTTTCTGTCTGTCCTTTTCTTCTGAATTATCTTGTATCTCTTTCACGAATAGGTCGGAGATCACATCACAGGTGGCGACATCTATGGCGTGGTGTACGAGAACTCGCTGGTGAATCAACACGCTATTTTGTTGCCACCTAAAGCACTTGGCACCATTACACACATAGCTGAAGCGGGAAGTTACACTCTTCAGGTATGCCGCGGATAATGGCGTGCTACGAACGAATCGATATCTCGAATAGAAATTAGCTAGTGCATAACTATAGATTCATGTGGAAATCAAAAAAAAAAAAAATAATGTTTATATCACGCTTCTTAGGACGTCGTCCTGGAAACGGAATTCGAAGGACAAAAATCGAAATTTACAATGATGCAATTGTGGCCTGTGCGATCACCACGGCCTGCTGCTGAGAAGCTTTCCGCAAATTATCCTCTTCTCACTGGACAGCGTGTATTGGATGCTCTATTTCCGTAAGGATTGATTTTTATATTTAAGGAACCGTAGAGGGAGATGAGCACATGTTGGAACTAGGCATATATCTTACGGGCTTTT